ACCATATGGGATGGAAGAAAGGTTGGCTGAGAGCAAGGCAAGTGCCTCAACTCCTGTGCTGGCTCTCTGACCTATACCTTCTTCCTCTTCCTCCTCCTCCTCCTCCTCCTCCTCTTCTTTTTTTTTTTTTTTTTTTGAGGGGGAGGTGAGGTCACAGCCGGAGATGCTCAGGGGTTACTCCTGCCTCTGCATTCAGGAATTACTCCTGGAAGTACTCGGGGGACCATATGGGATGCCAGGGATCGAACCTGGGTCAGCCGTGTGTAAGGTAAATGCCCGCCCCCCTGCACTATTGCTCCAGCCCCTCCCCCACCTTCTTTTGAAGAGAAAAAGGCCTAGACACGAGTTAAAAATGTTAAAGACAGACACCACTGACTGCTGTCTGAAGGGAAAGAGACAGAACTGAAGACTGAACTGAGTTCAGTTTTATTTCAGTTTGAAATTGAGCAGACTGCTCGGGATTTGTCACCAACAGCAGGGAGAGAGGGTCAGGGGGTGGAAAATGACTGGGGCATTAAGGCTTGGGGGCCGGTGTTTCTTACTGAACTAGCCTAAGGTGTCTGAGATGGCTCAGCTGGACAAGACTCGCTAGAACCCCCGCACACTGAGGGGGTTTTGCTGATGTTGTTACAATATTTATTCCGTTTCACTCTTTTGGGGGGAGAGGGTTGGTCAAACCTGGCGCTGGTGTTCAGGGCTTATTCCTGCCTCTGCCTTTGGGACCACTCCTGGCAGTGCTCTGGGGAACATGTGTGGTGCTGGAGATTGAACTGGGCTTGACAGTGTTGCGAAACATGTGCTTTGACTCCTGAATTTTATCTCTGGCCTCACACTGATCGTTCCTAGAACTTGTTTAAAAGCAGTGTTTTGTGAAACCATAAACATTATTTCACCTGTGGTGTGAGTTCCAAAAGTCAATGAAATTGACTGGACCTGAAAATCATTGTATGAGGCAGAAAGGACATTGGAGACACTGAATCTTGTGCACAGAGCAGATAGCATTATTTTCTGTCATGATTCCCTCACAACTTTGTCTAGAAATGGAGAGGTGATTTTTATTTATTTTTTTATTTATTTTTTGAGAGGGGATGTGAGGTCCGAGACACACCTGGGCATCCTCAGGGCTTCCTCCTGGCTCTGTGCTCAGGGATCACTCCTGTAGGTGCTCAGGGGAGGGTCACCTGGGGTGCCAGGATCTGGAATTCAGGTTCACCAAACACTTCACCTGCTGTACTACCTCTCCAACCCCTAGAAGCAGAGAATGTTTAGAGCAGTGTCAAGGAAGCGATGACCCAGTCACTACACGTTAGAGTGTGACTCATCTGTCACTCAGTAGCACCCAAGTCTCCCAGTGACTAGCCAACGGCTCCTGGGCAGGGCAGCGTTTGTGACGTCAGCAGCATTTGCCTTGGGGTGTGTGGGGTGTGGATCCATCTGCAAGCCACCTTGCTCTCTCCCTCTCTCCCAGAGCATCACCTCATGTCACTGCCCCGGAATCCTGCTTCCCCATCGCATTTTGCGGACGTGAACTTGTCTGTCCTGTTCTGGATTGTCAGCTGGCCATCCAGGAGGGCGGAGGCTGAATTGACCTGCATGAGTCCCTGGGTGGAGACTGTCAGGCTGCAGCCCCCGACGCCCAGCTCCCCTCACCCCCGCCCGAGCCCTCTGCCCCGCCGCTCCACGATGCTCTTCCAGGAAGTGCCCACAGGAGAAACTGGCTGGCTGGGGAGGCAGAGAGCTCTGGCCTCGGCCTGGCCTCCAGAAAACCAGCTCTGTGACTTGAGGCTCTTCTCTTTCCCTGTCTGTCAAATGGGGTCAAACCACCTGATATCCGCCTCCTTCTGAGATTCTCAGAAGACTCACGTGGATCTTTGGTTCGTTGGCTTGTTTTGGTGGTTTTTTTTTTTTTGGCTTGTTTGTGTTTTGCCACACCTGGCAGTGCCCAGGACTGACTCCTGGCTCTGTGCTGAGGGATCACTCCTCACTGGCTCAGGGGGAACATATTGGGTTGCCAGGGCTTGAACCTGGGTCATCTGCATGCAAGGCAGCACCTTATCCACTGGACTATCTGTCCGGTCTCTCGTGTGAGGTCATGCCCAGTAGGGGCTTAGCAAACACTCAGAGAGCCCCACCAAAAAGGTAGCTGCACGAGAGAAGTGCCCCGACATAGCCGTCCCCTGCTAAGAGCCTACGGCATAGACCTTTCTGCCAAACGGGGGTGTTTGCCCTCTGCAGACCTGCATTTGTGGGCGGGGCCCTCTCCGTGACCGGTCGGCCTTCCGCGTCTCTCGTGGTGCGTGCTGAGGCACGCCTGGCGCTCTTCCAGTCAGCCGTGGTTCCCGGTGGCCAGTGATGTCAGTCTCCCTTCTGTGCTGATGGAGCTGTTTAAGGACAAGCAGCAGCCCAGTGAGGATCCGCCGGCCACCCGGCTCCTTGTTGTAGCTTGTTCTTGGCGAAGTGGGAATCCAGAAGGCAGTTGACAAGTGAGGGGCCCCTCCCCCCAGCTGAAACAAGCCCTCGGTCTCTTTCTCTCTGGCAGTGGGGGAAGCGGCACACTTAGAGGTACTCAGGGATTATTCCTGGCTCTCTGTTTAGGGATCACTCCTGGAGGTGCTCCTGGAGGTGACCCTGTGGGGTGCTGAGATCGAACCCGAGTGAACCGCATGCAAGGCCAGTGCCTTATCTGCTCTACTGTCTCTCTGCCAATCCTTGTGGGCCTGGGGGGCGCCTCCTAGTGTGGGATGCACCGTGATTCCATGCCACGGCCCCTAGTGCATTGGTTCCCTATATTCACAGTCTAAGAGGCGAGCGCGAGGAGTCTCCTTGCCTCACGCAAGGCACTGACCCCCTGTGAGTGAGAATACAGGCCAGGAGAGCCCCGAACTCCTCCGGTTTCTTTCCATCCTCACCTCAGCACAGTATCTTGCCTCTTTGCCTTGCTGTTCTCTTTTTTTGTTTTTGTTCTTTGGCCGCACACAGCGATGCTCAGGAATTACTCCTGGTGGTGCTCGGGGGAAGCAGATAGGATTCCAGGGAAAGAACCAGGGCCGGCTCCATGCAAGGCAAGCACGGTACCCGGTGTACGAGCTCTCCAGCCTGGGTTTGCCATGTTGTAACTGTCTGCATATACCCCAGCAGTTCCCACCTTAAGCCCCGTACTATATTCCCAGCCTTATCCTTGAATTTCTTTTTTGACCTTCCCCACAGACACCGTGGCCCAAGCCCACCCTTTCTTGCCTCTCCTGTAGACGCACCGTGTCTGTTTCGTGACCAGTGATCACGGTGGCCTAGAACCAGCCCACTGTCTGCCCAGGGGTGGAGGAAAGGGACCAAACTGACCAGGGGATTGGCTGAGCTCAGCGGCCGTTCACAGCCTTCTTTCTTCAGCAGCCTCTGGAGAACCCGAGCCTCGAGAGGCAGCTGGGGAAGCGTGGGTTCCACGGGAGGATGGCACAGCCTCTTGGCCTCTTTCTGATGCAGAAGGAGGAGGCCGGTTTTGCAGTGGCCTCTCTCTGCCCTGTTGACAATGGTTGTGTAAGCACAAAAGGGCAGCAGTGCTCTGTCTCTCCTGCCACCTGCGTTCTCGGCAGTCTCACGCCGCTTTCTCCTTCCCGGGGAGGTCGGTGGCGATGGGCAGACGAAGGAAGGAAATGAGGGCCAGGTTGCTTGGTGTCAGTTGCAGTTTATTCCAATCTCATCTCCATTCCCTCCTGTATCCTTCTCTGCTTCTCCCTCTTACAGTCCAGTTACATCCCCAAAGCATGAGGGTTTGGGACTTGCACATTGGTGTGGTCACAATCAGTAGGGGTAAAGTCTTTCCCTCGGGATGCTTCTAGGGCAGATACTCTCTCAGCAGGACAACCCACCCTAGAGCAGAATCCCATGGGTGTGTTTCTCCTCTCCTTGTCCAACAAACATATAAGCATTCATAATATTAATCATTTTTTATGGACACAGTAAGAGATACATTAAGCTTATAGGAATGCTTTCCTGGGGTCATCTCCATCTCAGACTACAGTGCTCAGGCCAGATTAGTCTTTCCTATCCCTAGCAGGGTCCTAATCTCGTCGTTACTTTCGGATCATGACAGCATTTGGCCATCACCAAGCTCTCGACTTATAGTTAAGAATCATGGCACTTTGGCCTGGCCCACTTCGATGCCACGGTAGCTCACAGCTTGCCCTGGGTCCATTCAGTCCCTCGTCGGGAAAGCACCCCTACTTTGGGGATGCTAGGAACTAAGGGCAATTGAGGCTTAAGTCGAGAAAGCAGATGCCTGGGAGTGAATAATATTCGAAGCCAATTAAATCCCAAGTTACAGAAGCATACTATTAACAGTCTTTCTGTATCTATACAAAAACGACATTGCTTTAAAGTAAACTATTCAAAAGACATAAAAGGAGAGGAGACAGGCAATATATAACTTACAATACAAGTTCCACGTCCTAGAAGCGCTGACCTTACAAATTTACAGATTTTGATTAGGGGAAAACGCTGGTTAACTGGTTGGGGAAGAGGGCATAGAGTAGTTACAGATAAGCACAGAGGAATGGGAGTGACTTGGGAGCACTGTGATGGGTGTAACCGATAAACCTAAACTCCTTGTGGTAAGGGAGAAAGGACAAACCATTGTGATCCTACAGTGGTCAAGGTTAAACATCTGCCCACATGCCTTCTACGTTGCTTAAGAATCGAGTGAGGAGGGGCTGGAGCTGTAGCACAGTGGATAGGGCGTGTGCCTTGCATGCGGCCGGCCCGGGTTCGATTCCCAGTATCCCATATGGTCCCCTGAGCACCGTCAGGAGTAATTCCTGCTCGCAGAGCCAAGAGTAACCCCTGTGTCTTGCTGGGTGTGACCCAAAAGCAGAAAGGAAAAAAATGAATAGGGTGAGGAGCAGCAGAGGACAGCTGATGGTTCCATCACCACCCCCGGGTTCTCGAGGGACTTCAGAGCCTTCGGCTTGTGTTCACGTCGTTCCTCCGTCCTTTCTTCTCTGCAGGGTATGGCAGCTGGAGAGAACTAGAAAAGGCTCTGGCCAGCAGGAACATCCCCGCAGTTGACCCAAACCTCCAGTTCTACCACCCCCCGAGGTCAGACCTCAAGGTAAGTGACCTAAACCTGAGTCCTCAGCCCTCTGCCTTGCCCGTGGGCAGCCTCCACTTTCCTTGGGCAGGGGGGCTCCGAAACAGTGCCCCGCACCACAGCCTGGTCACAGGGTTATAGCAGGGCGCCCTCACCAAGTCTGAGTCACTCCCTTTATGATCCCCCTGCTGGATGGAGTCTTGGTCAGTGTTGCAGTTGGGTTCAGGGTCAGACCCAGCCATGCTCCCGGGCTTCTCCTGGCTCTGCAGGACCGTGTGGCTGGGAATTGAATCTGGGGCGCCACTGTGCAAAGCATGTGCTCCGACCCACTGAGCGCTGTCCTCACCATAGCGTTCCTTAGGCCTAAGGAATTAGGGACAGAATTAGGTCTGGAGCCTGAACGTCGGACCGACATGACTCCCCAAGGCTGAACCAGACTGAGCCCGGGATGTGCATGGAAAGAAAGGGCTGGGTTGCTGTCCCCGTGGGGCTCACACTTATTAGGACAAGTGGGTGACGAGTCTGGGCAGAGGCCCGGGGAACAGTGAGGGAGACAGAGTCAAAGCTCCCGATCTCACTGGAGAAAACAGTGTTTCTGTATAGGAAAGAACGTTCAGGAAATAGAAGCAGCAGCGTTTGGTCTGTTCCGAGGAGGTAGTGTGGCCCCCACACGTAGGTCAGTAAGCTTCCCGGTGCAGGAACTGCATCCTTTCTGCACTGAACTGAACCCTCTGCCTCCCCACGGGGCCTGCTTGCATGCTGAATCCTGTGCTTTATTTCCTCTGAGTTCATTCTTCACTCTTTTGCCAGGACCAAGACTTGCAGCGAGGAGGGAGCAGTAATAGCAGCTACCTGAAGTGGAATAAACCTGTCCCCTGGCTCTCGGAGGTAAAAGGGCTCCACCGACTTGGGTCCTTGACACCGGTAGATAGAAGCTGGCACCGGAACAGCACACAGCTGTTGGCACTGTATACGTTCCCCTGAGCCAACCAAAAAGAATTTTCTTTTCCCTTTTTGGGTCACACCCGGCGATGCACAGGGGGTTCTCGTGGCTTGTACACTCAGGAATTACTCCTGGCAGTGCTCAGGGGACCCTATGGTATGCTGGGAATCGAACCCAGGTCGGCCGCGTGCAAGGCAAACACCCTACCCGTTGTGCTATCGCTTCAGCCCCCAGGAAGAATTCTTAAGCACAGAGACAGGAGTAAGCCCTGAGCACTACCAGGTCTATCCTCCCCCTGCCACCCTGCTCTACTCCCCAACCCCCGCCCCCAAAAAAAGTTTTTAAGGCCAGAGAGACACTACAGTGAAGGCACTTGCTTTGCACATAGCTTAACCAACCCTGGTTCAGTCCTTGACATCATGTATGAGCCCTGTCTGGAAGGATCCCCACGCACAGAGCCAGGAGTAGGCACTGAGCTCTGCTGAGTGTGGCCCAAAAAACTTTCTGAGCTTTTCCGGAGTCAGGGTAGGTACCCCCATCCCACTTCCTGTACTTCCTGAAACCCCAGCAGCCACACCCATACCCCATTGCCACCGCCAGGTGAGCCCACCACCCACTTAAATGTTCTGGGTTTCTGGAGCGACATCTCCAAACTCTACGGTATGACATCCCAGTGGGAGGACACAGATTGGAAGCCCACTAAGCTCAGCTAAGAAAAACACTAACACAGAAGGCTCAACGAGCAGCAAAGAGCTTAGTAAACCCTCAATAAGGACTTGATGAATAAACCTGTCCCCTGGCTCTCGGAGGTAAAAGGGCTCCACCGACTTGGGTCCTTGACACCGTTCAATAGGAGCTGGGGCCGGAGCAGCGCACAACTGATTGGGGTTTGATCCTTGGCACTTGATATGGTCCCCTGAGCCTACCAGGAAGGAGTCTTGAGGACAGAGGCAGGAGTAAGCCCTGAGCACTACGACAACTTTCACACGTTTTCTTTTACTGATCATTATATTAGTCATTTAGTGGTGACAAGTAATAGAAAATAAATAATCGTGGCCCTGCCCTGGAGGCAGACTTGGGGGGGGGGTTGGGGAAATGGAGACAGCGGTGGTGGGGTTGGTGTTGGAGTGCCTGTAACCGATTGTCATGGACAACTTTGTAAGCCACAGTGTTTAAATAAAGTGAGGGTGAGGGGACAGATTTTACAGATTGCTCCAGAGATCCACAGGAACTTTTGTTCTACTGATTATTTTAAAAAATTTCACTGAATTAGAGCCAGAGATAGTACAGCAGGTAGGGACTTGCCTTGCATGTGACTGACCTGGGTTCAGTCCCCGGCACACATGTGTTTCCCGACCCCTTCACGTGAGCATTGCTGGGGTGATCCCTGAGCACAGACTCAGGAGTGTGCCCTGAGCATTGCAACTCCTCTTGCCCCCAATTTTTTTAAGTCTGGTGTCTAAAAAAAAAAGTGTTTAAATTTTTGAATACTAGGTCAAAATTAGCAATGAGCTCTACGACCCAGTGCTCAGAGTGTAAGCTTCAAGGACGATTTCCCTCAAGCTGATTCCAGATTTGAGGGTTGTGGGAGGGCGCTGCCGGGCGGGCACCTCCCTGCAGTCTGTTTAGAACCATTTTGCAGTGGACGATGGAGGGGCCCGACTCGTCGTACTCCTGCTTGCTGATCCACATCTCCTGGAAGGTGGACAGTGAGGCCAGGATGGAGCCCCCGATCCACACTGAGCACTTGCGCTCGGGAGGTGCAATGATATTGATCTTCATGGTGCTAGGGGCCGGGGTTGTGATCTCCTTCTGCATCCGGTCAGCGATGCCTGGGTACATGGTGGTGCCCTCTGAGAGCACCATGTTGGTATATAGGTCCTTGTCCCACTTCATGATGGAGTTGAAGGTGGTCTCGTGTATGCCGCAGTTCCCGGTTCTGTTGATCATGTCTTAGGGGTTCTGAATGACTTTTGTCCACGAAACACTCCTTCATTCTAGGGAACTAGGGGATATAAAACTGCTTTAGAAACATTTTCCAGAAAACAGTGTAAGCAGATGAGACCAGGTTGTCATAATCAGCACCATACCTTTAATTCTGGTAGGATTTGCCAGATTTTCTTTTCTTCTGGGGTGGGGAGTGGAGGCTTAGCGTGGTTTATTCTCATTTGCAAGCTTGCATTCAGTGATGCTCCTGTCAAGACCTCCGAGTAGGAGCCAGAGTGATGATACAGCAGTTGAAGCACATGCCTTGCATGCGACCAATTCTGATTTGACCCTTGGCAACCCATCACCACCCCCAAGCATTGCCAGGACAGCCCTGGAGGCCGGGCTGCGTCACCAGGCTGTCTCAAGCGCTGCAGGGTCAGACTAGCTCCGAATCCTCTGGCCTGGCAGCCTCCGGGTGGGGGGGGGGGGATCACCACAAAGCGCCCTGTTCTCCTGAGCACTTCTTGGGAGGCAGCCTCACTACTACCACCCCCCTCAAAAAAAAAAGACCCCGACTAGCATGGTACTCTGCGATGGAAAAATGAAATTTGAGTCTTTCATTTTACAACTTGTCCACAGTCCAGTGTCTTTAAGCTTCTGAACCTGTGGACATGACTTGCTTTATTTTCGGTTTGGGGTTCACACCCAGCAGTGCTCAGGACTTACTCCTGGCTCTGCGCTCAGGGACCACTCCTGGCGGGGTTTGGGGAACGGTATGGGGTGCCAGGACTTGAACCCGGGTTGGCCGAGTGCAAGGCAAGCGCCCTGCCAGCTGTACCACGGCTCTGAGCTCCTACGGCTTGCTTTTCTTGGCTGGGGGGATCAGCCCCTGGCCGTTATCTGCATCCCTTCAGCCGTGGTGATTTGATTTCACCTGCCCATTAGCCGAGGGGCAGGTGTGGCAGCGAGGGCCAGTGCATGTGATGTTAGGTTATCCACCCTGTGCAGCGGCCTGTGTGGAAAGCCCTGAGGAGGATGGATTACAGCTGGGCACACCTGTGCCGGTGACCTCACCAGGCAGCTATGCCCCACCCCACCTGGGGACTGGGCCCCCCAAAACCGGGGGTCCAGTGACCTGGCTCTCTTGCTTTTCATGCAACCGCTGGCTTCGCTTTCTTGAACCACTTGTTTTGAAAGATTATCGCTTTGTGACACTGGGCTTTTATTCATCATTCATTACGCCACTTTTTTTTTTTTTTTTTGCCTGCTGAAAGGTTTAGAGATATACATATGTTTGTAGGGCTGGGATGATAGTACAGCAGGGAGGGCGCTAGCCTTGCACGTTGCTGACCTGGGTTTGATCCCTGGCATCCCATATGATATGCTGTGCACTGCCAGGAGTAATTCCTGAGTGCATGAGCCAGGAGTAACCCCTGAGCATTGCCGGGTGTGACCCAAAAAGCCAAAGAAAACAAACAAACAAAAAACACCAAATGCTGACTTTTGGGCTGGCTCTGTAGTACAGAGCATAGCACTTGCCTTGCACGCAGGTTTAATTCCCCAGCGTCCTCAGATGGTCCTGACTGCAGAGCCAGGAGTGATCCCTATGTGATCCCCTCCCCCCCAAAAAAATCATTTCTTAGAGATATACATATGTATGTAATGATACAGCATCAATGAGCGCATGGTCTAGAGTGATTAACATAGGATTCCTGGAGGGGCAGTGTGAGGGCCTCCCCAGCCCTGGGTGGGTCCTTGGGGCCACTCCGGGCAGTTCTTGGCCTGGTGGTTCCAGGCCTCAGGGTTAGATGCCCAACCCTGTAATGCTCAGACTGATAGAGCCAAGGGAGATGACCAGGGCTAGTTCTGTGATCATCTGATGGGTGTTTTGGAGGGTGAGGGGGCATGTGGTGCTCGGGGCTTACTCCTGGCTCCTGGCAGGCTCAGGGACCTTATGGGGTGCTGGGAATCCGTCTTGGTTTGGTCACTTGCAATGCAAGAGCCCTGCCCACTATGCTATTGCTCTGACTTTTATTTTTCTTTTATAATGCTAAAAAACAGCAGCTCCTCGTGGCATATCCGATACACCAAAAATAGTAACAATAACGGGTCTCATTCCCCTGACCTTGGAAGAGCCTCCAATACGGCAGTTTTGTTGGAAAAGACGAATAGGGAGAGGCTGTTAAAATCTCAGGACTGAGGCGAATGGAGACGTTACTGATGCCCGCTCGAGTAAATTGATGAACAACGGGATGACAGTGATACAGTGAATGCTAAAAAGAATTTACAAAAGGATTCAGTGCTGTTCAGGTCCTGCAGAATCACTCGGAGGAGCTCGGGGGCGCCAGGGCCACCCCTGTGGTACTCAGAGGCCTCAGGGCTTGTACTTGGCAATGCTTGGGGAGGACTGCCTGGTGCCCAGGACCGAACCCCACCCAGCATGCACCCTAACTTCTGCACCATCTTCTGGCCTCTTGTTTTTCCAGAAGGAAAACCAGGCCCTGAGCTTGGAGAGGGAAAGGTGCTTGCCGTGCATGTTGCCAACCTGGTTCGATCCCCGGTGTCCCCCAAGCCACTGGGAGTGAATCTGAGTGCAGAACTAGAAATAAGTCCCGTGCCCCCGCTGGGTGTGGCCCTCCAAACCAAAGAAAGAATGAAGGGGGAAAGAAAAAGAAAATTAAAAGGAAAAGAAACCCAAGTACTCATCCTATGCGTGTGCTTCCAGCCCCGCCCAGCCCAGCCCAGGAGCTCTCTCTCCCACCCCCTGCCAGCCCCTGTCAGGAAAGGACCTAGAGGCAGGCATCGGTCACACTCAGCTTTAGAGCAGATTCGTTGATTGGCATAGAAGAAATTCCAGGGGCTGGAGTGATAGCACAGCGGGGAGAGTGTTTGCCTTGCACACGGCCGACCCGGCTCAATTCCCAGTATCCTGTGTGGTCCCCTGAGCACCGCCAGGAGTAACTCCTGAGTGTATGAGCCAGGAGTAACTCACCGGGTGTCACACACACACACACAC